AGGGCCACTCAATAAGTTATCTACCTGAATATGAAAGGGATGAGCAACAGGCCTGTGCCTGCTGCGACATGTCTCGACAGGTCTTGCGAAGTGAATGTGCGCAACAGCGAGGATATTTCATGTACACAAGGCGAACTGGCGAGAACCAAGTTTCCCATTACAATGGATGGAAAAACCGAGTCTAAGAGAAACGCTAGGGAAACACTGGGAATAAAGAAAATACGACTGAACGTGCGTGACTGCGAGGATATTTCACAATTCCAAGGTGATCTGGCGAGAACCTAGTTTCCCATTACAAAGAATGTAAAAACTGGGTCTGCTTCAAAACAACTGGCAATGAGGAAAATACGACTGAATGTGCGTAACTGCAAAGACATTTCACAATTCCAAGGTGATATGGCGAGAACCAAGTTTCCCATTACAATGCATGGAAAAACCGGGCCTAAGAAAACTGCTTCAAAACAACTGGCAATGAGGAAAATACGACTGAATGTGCGTAACTGCGAGGATATTTCACAATTCCAAGGTGATCTGGCGAGAACCAAGTTTCCCATTACAATGCATGGAAAAATCGAGTCTGCTTCAAAACAACTGGGAATGAGGAAAATACGAGTGAATGTGCGCAACAGCGAAGATATTTCATGTACACAAGGCCAACTGGCCAAGAACCAAGTTTCCCAATACAATGGATGGAAAAACCGAGCCTAAGAGAAACGCTAGGAAAACACTGGGAATTAGGAAAATACGACTGAATGTGCGTAACTGCGAGGATATTTCATAATTCCAAGGTGATCTGGCGAGAACCAAGTTTCCCATTACAATGGATGGAAAAACTGTGTCTATGATAAACGCTAGGAAAACACTGGCACTGACGAAAATACGACTGAATGTGCGTGACTGCGAGGATATTTCACAATTGGAAGGTCATCTGGCGAGAACCAAGTTTCCCATTACAAAAAATGGAAAAACTGGGTCTGCTTCAAAACAACTGGCAATAAGGAAAATACGACTGAATGTGCGTGACTGCGAGGATATTTCACAATTGGAAGGTCATCTGGCGAGAACCAAGTTTCCCATTACAAAGAACGTAAAAACTGGGTCTGCTTCAAAACAACTGGCAATGAGAAAATACGACTGAATGTGCGTGACTGCGAGGATATTTCACAATTCCAAGGTGATCTGGCGAGAACCAAGTTTCCCATTACAATGCATGGAAAAACCGGGCCTAAGAAAACTGCTTCAAAACAACTGGCAATGAGGAAAATACGACTGAAGGTGCGTAACTGCGAGGATATTTCACAATTCCAAGGTGATTTGGAGAGAACCAAGTTTCCCATTACAAAGAACGTAAAAACTGGGTCTGCTTCAAAACAACTGGCAATGAGGAAAATACGACTGAATGTGCGTAACTGCGAGGATATTTCACAATTCCAAGGTGATCTGGCGAGAACCGAGTTTCCCATTACAAAGAATGGAAAAACTGGGTCTGCTTCAAAACAACTGACAATGAGGAAAATACGACTGAATGTGCGTAACTGCGAGGATATTTCACAATTCCAAGGTGATCTGGCGAGAACCAAGTTTCCTATTCCAATGCATGGAAAAACCGGACCTAAGAAAACTGCTTCGAAACAACTGGCAATGAGGAAAATACGACTGAATGTGCGTAACTGCGAGGATATTTCATGTACACAAGGCGAACTGGCAAGAACCAAGTTTCCCAATACAATGGATGGAAAAACCGAGTCTATGATAAACGCTAGGAAAAAACTGGCACTGACGAAAATACGACTGAATGTGCGTGACTGCAAGGATATTTCACAATTCCAAGGTGATCTGGCGAGAACCAAGTTTCCCATTACAAAAAATGGAAAAACTGGGTCTGCTTCAAAACAACTGGCAATAAGGAAAATACGACTGAAATTGCGTAACTGCGAAGATATTTCACAATTGGAAGGTGATCTGGCGAGAACCAAGTTTCCATTACAATGGATGGAAAAACTGGGTCTATGATAAACGCTAGGAAAACACTATGAATGAGGAAAATACGATTGAATGTGCGTAACTGCGAGGATATTTCACAATTCCAAGGTGATCTGGCGAGAACCAAGTTTCCCTTTACTAAGAATAGCAAAACCTGGTCTTCTTCAAAACAACTGATAATGAGGAAACTACGACTGAATGTGCGCAACTGCGAGGATTTTTCATAATTGAAAGGTGATCTGGCGAGAAAGAAGTTTCCCATTACAATGGATGGAAAAACTGGGTCTATGATAAACGCTAGGAAACACTGGCACTGACGAAAATACGACCGAATGTCCGTAACTGCGAGGATATTTTACAATTGGAAGGTGATCTGGCGAGAACCAAGTTTCCCGTTACAAAGAATGGAAAAACCGGGTCTGCTTCAAAACAACTGGCAATGAGGAAAATACGACTGAATGTGCGTGACAAAATCCTAGGAATCAAACTGGAGTAAGTGTGTTGAGTTAAAAGGTGACTACACTGAAAAATAAAGTGTTATTTTTCCCCTCTGATGTTTCTTTCTTATTCAGGTAGATAACTTATTGAGCGACCCTCGTATATATTCTATCACCTTGATCAATTCCTCCTAGATACCAACATCCTTTCCCCCTACCAATCAGGATTTAGGAAGTATCACACAACATGCTCAGCTCTCATCAGCTTCACAGACAACACTCATTAGCCATGGACTTGTAAAGGATCTACATGGTCTTACTTTAAATTCTGAGCATCTTAAACCTCTACAGAATGTCAAACTCCTTGATTTAACCTCAAGATGCACACCTTTTTCATAATGATCATTATAATTTTTTATTATCAAAAAAATCAATCAGAACCTATACCTCATCCATTCAATATCTCCTCTGGTCTCAACAAACTCAAATTACTTGCAAATGCCCTTGCTCTTCCCCACATCACAAATTGATATCCAGTATATGTTGTCTCTTCCTCATCCAATATCTCAGACAAAATAAATCCTCAAATTAAAAAGTGTGTCAAGAATAATCCACAAATATCCAGCTCATCACCCATATGCAATACTTCTAAAAAATTATTACTAGCTTAGCTTTACTGTTAGGCACACCTTGAAACCATGACCTTATGGCACAAAATTCTGAACACACCCACCCCATCCTATCTTCAAGTTTTCATGGCTCCTACTCACAAACATAATACACATTTTGTAAAAAATAACTCACTTCTCAACATATTAAGTTAAAAATACCTACGTGAAATTATATGGTATTCAAAGATCAAATGTGGCCTCTTGATGTGATGTTGATTTGACAAAGAATTACACTATTTTGGGTCGATAACTCCCACTCAAACAGGAGAGAAAGCCCAAAATTCAGAATGGAAAAGTGATATTATACACCAAGATGGACAAAAGCTTGTTATGTTGCCAGAGAAATGCTTGGGTCAACAGTTACAAGATACCGTTTCAGTAAAGAGGCAATCATCAATTCATTGAATCGCATATCATGGGCAAGAAATATGTGTTATTGTTGCTCCAAGGATATAGTAACAAGTAACTGTTGCATCCTGTGTAGTTGGAATTTATGGGCAATGGCAGTCTTTTCCTGCTTTTTCAACAAATATCCTTTTCATGTTTAACAGGTGATGTTTAGGAAAAGATCATTTACTTTCAATGTATGTGAGTCAAGAAATTTGTGCTTTCACAGTAGGTAAACAGATTTCCCTTCACCATTCAATCACCACTGCATCCTCAACAGACACAAAAGCACTCATCGTACTCAGTGAGGTATCTTTTCGATCTCCAAGTTGACACTTCGAGTCAAATGAAACAACAGTGGTATTAACCCTTGTCAATGCCTATTTGTTTGCAACAAAATATTTATTGGAGACAGATGCGGTCTCCTCAGCACAACAAGGGTAAATGATTATCAGGAAGGAGAGGATGGCATGAAATACAAGAAACAACATGGAACAGCCAGGAATCATATCATCCTTCCATACTGCTACCATTACGTAAGTCCTGAATTTATTATAATAATAAAAACTCATTTTCAGCAATTCTTCAATTTGGGAGCATTTCATTTGTGTGAATTTGCCATAGTAATTAGATTATGTTTATGTATATCCAGATATTTCCAATTCTCAAATCATGCTTGCTGAAAGGGAGATTTTCACCCTCAAGTCTGGGCAAGAGGCATAAATTCAAAGCTAAGAAGTATACCTGAGACTGTGTAACATGGTTGCTCTTAGAGGCAGATGAGAATGTAGGTGAAGAGGAATCTATGAACATGGGATATGAAGCTTTCATAACTTTGCTATATTTGAAAATAAAAAATAATTCTCAAAACACATCGATCATTCCCTGCAAAATTCAAGGGGCACCAAAAATGTATTTGCACTTTACATGATTTCCTTATCCATTCCCTGCTTTTTTTTTTTTTTTCAGCAGCTAAGCAGAGTTTCAGGATGGTGTATGCCAAGTTGCAGGAGTCTGGTGTGAATAGTTTGCTGCAAGTTTCATTTAATGTGCAGTGACCTTGATGCATTGGACATTGGGAAACTTCAACTGTGAAGAGCACTCAAATTATGTGATTTGGTATTTTCAATTTTGGATTATATGCAAAATGATATCTAGAGTTCCTGATTATATGAGTATACTGCATTTTGCTATAGGTGACATGTGGGTCTTGCTTCAAGAGGGCTTGAACAACTTCAATGTTCATTTCATTTGTTACCATAGTGGCTTGACCAGACATGGGGTTGTCAGAAAAATCTCCACTCCCAAAGCAAAATTCAATTAACCAATTCTGAATGGTCCTCCAAAGAAGGGGAAGCTTCCCCTATAGCCTCTGACATCTCAGAATGGTACTACCTAGGAAAGAGACATCGTTAATACCAAATACCAAATCATGACCTGTTTGTCATAATTCCAGGGCTCTAGAGATTAAATTTCTCATAGTAAAATGTCAACATCACTGCACATAAAATTAAACTCACAGCTAACTATTCACAATAGATTCCTGGAACTTGGCATACACACATCTAAAAAAAAAAAGTTTATATGCAATAAAATAATAACAAGAAATAGATGAAGAAATCATGTAAAGTGCAAAACCTTATCAAGTGCCCCTTTTATTGGGTTGTCCAATAAGTTCGTGCCATTTTTTATTATTATTAAGGCATCATTTGTCACAACAGGTATTGCCTATCACTGAGTGTTATATACCATTTTGTAGCTCTTGTTTTCTTCTTCCAGAATCACTATTGAGTTTTTCATTTTCGTTTATTAATAGTTTTTTTAAGGTTGATGGAGCTTTAGGTCGACAAAAACGAACATCTCCGACATCTCCTTGCCTACGAGTTTAATTGTGGCTGTAATGCTACGCAAGCCGCTCGAAACATCAGTGCTGTCTACAGACAAGGTTTTATTGCTAAAAGGACAGCTCGAAAATGGTTTGCCCACTTCAAAGAAGGCGATTTTAGCCTGACTGACGCCCCTTGGTCAGGATGTCCAGTGGATTTTGATGAAGAGCGCCTGGAAACTCTTCTCCAAGAGGACAACCTCCAAACAACACGAGAATTGGCTGAGCAACTCGACTGTGCACCACAGACAGTGCTCAATCACCTTAATGCAATGGGAAAAGTCCTGAAGTCTGGTGCATGGGTCCCTCATGAACTTAGCGACCTGACCAGAACCTGACAGAGGGGCATCAGTCAGGCTGAAATCGCCTTCTTTGAAGTGGGCAAACCATTTTCAAGCTGTCCTTTCAGCAATAAAACCTTGTCCGTAGATGGCACTGATGTTTCGAGCGGCTTGTGTAGCATTACAGCCATGATTAAACTCGTAGACAAGGAGATGTCAGAGATGTTCGTTTTTGTCGACCTGAAGCTCCATCAACCTTAAAAAAACTATTAATAAACGAAAATGAAAAACTCAATAGTGATTCTGGAAGAGGAAAACAAGAGCTACAAAATGGTATATAACACTCAGTGATAGGCAATACCTGTTGTGACAAATGATGCCTTCATTTTAAAAAATGGCACGAACTTATTGGACAACCCAATATAATGCCTGTGTCCCTCACACCTTGTTCTCAGAGGGGCATTATTCAGGTGGTGATGGTGAGAAAAGCATTATGCAGAATCTATGATGACATCTCTGAAAAGAAGGATCTGATGGTACTTATTTTGGGATACTGATAACTTTTGCTATCATTGATTACAGTAACTGTAATAGCCACAGACCAGATGCCCACCTGGTTCTTTCTTCTTCACTTGTCCAGATGACATACCGCCCAAATATCCGTTTTAAATCTTCTTCTTTCACTTCTTTTGCCAAGTTTTTGACGTACAGCCTGGCAGTTGGTTCTCCTGGATCATAGTTCTTGAATGCAGAGACTTTCTTCCATTCTATGTGAATCAGAGATTAAGCATAATACAAAATGTAAACTCAAGATAAAATTCAAAGGAAACAGAACTAAACCTTGTGGAGGGAGGGTGTTTCCTTCAAGTTCCTTCTTTGAGATGAACTCAGTGCATTCCCAATTCACATCATCTGACCCTTTATGTTTCATCTGGGATTTAGGACTCAGGGGAGATCTCTTCTTGGGCTCCAGTTTCCCAAATCCCACACCACTTGCTTCACCTTCCCCCTGCTTGACCAATTCCTTTGAATCTCTCTTCATGTCCCCTTTGATACAAATGGTTAGTTTCAGCTCTCTCTTCTGCACCTTGGGTGGCTCTTCATCTCCTCTGGGCCTGTTTGGCACAATTGCCAGCTTTGGAACTTTAAGACGGGATTTCATCTTCTTTGCTAAGGGCATGGGCACCAGCTCCTCTTCCACCTTCCTCTTTCGCATTTCCCTCAATGTCTCCTCCTCATCTGAACTTTCATATTCACTTTCACTTTCACTCTCACTCATGTTCACAGGAGCCTGCTCCTCTGTGGCATGAAATGGAGGAGGGAAATTCATCTTATTCATTAGATGGAGAACCTGAATGTAGAAGGGAAAGGATGTCTGGAGAGAATGGGATATGGCTTCTAGGATTTGGTCATTACAATTTGGATATGAATAGGTTAGGCGAGACACAGAGGAATGAAGACTATATTCTCCAAACATTGCTCTCATGCTCATTGTCTCTTGACTCCTTTGGATCTCCAATTCTTCTTCATCTTTCCTTATATCCTCACTCCTGGAAAAATATGAAAATTACAAATTTAATATGCAAGAATATTGAGTGGACACAAGAATGAGCAAAAGTGCCTTTTAAAAGTTGTATACGAGGGGCATTTAATAAATTCTGCACAGGTTGGCAACACTGAATACTGGATGATGTTATGACCGCCATTTTTGTCCCAGTTATAGTTTGAGCCTATGAGTGCTTTCACGCCAAATCTTGTTGCTCTAAGTGCTGCTGCTTAGAAACAATAAACTTTCAAAATGGCTAGTGCAGAGTTTTCGGGTACGGTGACACAAAACGATCAGCGATCTTACATTAAAATTGAAACTTTGCGCAATAAAACTCCCACAGAAATTCACGCTATTCTTGTGGAGGTGTGTGGAAGTGATGCAGTAGACCGGAGCACAATGTCTCGTTGGGCCACACGTTTTCATTGTGGGCGGGAGAGCATAAACGACGATCCAAGGTCTGGCAGACTAGTTTGTGCAATAACGGACGAATCAGTGCAACGTGTGGCCAATATGATTGAAGAGGATCGCCGAATGACCTGTGAGGAAATTTCTCAAGATACTGGGATATCAGCCACGTCAGTGTTTCGCATTCTCACCCAGCATCTTCACAAAAGAAAAGTGGCAGACAAGTGGGTCCCACATCAGCCCACGCATAATCAAAAAGCAGCACGCCATGACATTGCTCAGCAACTCCTGCAATGTTACAGAGCAGAAGGGGAAGCCTTTTTGGACAGAATAGTGGCTATTGATGAAACTTGGATCCGTGATTTTGAAACAGAATTGAAGTCCCAATCAAACCAATGGAAAAGCCCAAATTCACTGAGGCCCAAGAAATGTCGACGCTCACAATCAAAAGTTAAGCAGATGATGATCTTTGCTTACGACTGTCATGGTGTGATTGTTACTGATCGTGTACCTGTGAAATCTAGTGCTATAGGAACATATTACAGCCAATTCCTGCAGAAACTTCGAAGAAAAATGCACCAGAATCGCCCGGAACTCCACCAACAAGGGGTTCTCATCCTCCATGACAATGCCAGGCCACATGTTTGTTAGGTACTGACTGATTTATTGGCCAAGTACTGTTGGGAAATTCTTCCTCACCCCCCTTACAGTCCTGATATGAGTCCTCCAGACTATGACCTGTTCCCAAAACTCAAAGAAGAGATGCATGATGTGCGTTTTGCAGATTTGAAAGAACTTTCTCATGCCGTTACCCGACGCATTCGTCAACTTAACAAAGATGGCGCCTTATCTGGCATTCACAGCCTTCCAAACTGTTGGGGAGTCCTGCATTGCTAAGGAAGGAGAATATGTAGAAGGCCTATAGATATAGTCTGTTGGATTAATTGTCAATAAAAGAGAAAAAAAATTCTGTGCAGAATTTATGAAAAAATTTATGAATGCCCCTCATAGATGGTTGTAAAGGTTTTATGTATTTATATCATAAAAAAATTTGAAGATTTTGATAAATATCTAAAATCCAATAGTCTGGCATGCTGACATCCAATTTTAGTGCAAGAGTGTGATGAGCTCCCATTCCCTCAATATCTATGCAATATGACAGAAGATATCCACTCACATGTCAATCCAGTAAACACCAGGCATGTCATTGGTTACGATCAGGTCCTCCCAAAAGTAAAGTCGTTTTTATCTCCGTTTTTCAAAATTAAAATACACCTGCATTGCATCAAGTTTCAATCAAGTATATATTCCCCTTCGTTCTCTATGACTCTCTGCCACCTTTCTACAAGCATTTCAATTCCATGTTTATAAAATTCCTTGGGCGTTGAAGCGGGTTTTTGCTTTATGAAACGAACAACAAAGGCCTAGGTCTAAGATCAGCTGTGAAAAAAGGGGGAGGGAGGACTCGCGTGAACTTGGACCCTTAGCGTGATAAGCATGCAATCCAGTCCTCTGTTGTGAGATCCTAATTGTCCTCGCATAGTTCGCATTAGGTTTTCAAAGATTCGGTTTCTTCTCGATAATTTTTTTGAACGTCTTGAGTTTCTCCTTGGTTTTGCCTTAGCTGGTCTTCGCTGTCATATCGTCAATCGAATCAACCCTTTTTAACCCTTCAGTCCACTTTGTATCATCTAATACAGGGTGTCCACAAAGTAACTTGACATAACGATTTTTTTTCTCGTCGCCAACTGAAATTTTACGTTGCCATAGTCCTTCCATTAGGACTAAATTCTTTATTCCGGAACACTAATAATATTCATTTTTCTCCACCCCTAGTACCTGAAAAACTAATATTTTGACAACTGCTGAAAATGCTCAGTTTTTCGCAAAGAGCATTTCCTCGTTCTCCTGAAGGTCAACCTTGTTTCGGTTGGTCTTGAACTGACCCTGTCTCCTGAAACTTCCTTACAAGATAATGAATGGCTGGGTGAGAAGGACGTCTTGCAATGGCGTTTGAACTTCTTTTGTGTTTCTGCCCATAGGTGGCAATTTGTTGAGAAATTTGGGGGGCTCAGAGAAAAAATTTGGTGGAGGGGGGCTCAAAGACATTACTCCTTATTCTTCTGCCAAATTTTTTGGGGTGGCTCGAGCCCTCTGAACCCCTATGAATCGCTGCCTATGTTTCTGCCACGGATTTGGATTCAAATTACCACTCGATGATCTCTTTGCGAGAAACTTAGCCTTTCCGGCAGTTATCAAAATTATTTTTCAGGTTCCTGGGATGGAGAAAAATGCATATTATTAGTGTTCGGGAATTAAGAATTTAGTCCTCTTTAAGGCGTAAAATTTCAGTTCACGATGAGAAACAAAATCGTTATGTAAAGTTACTTTATGGCCACCCTGTATGTATAGAAAATCGTGACTGACGCTAATTCTAACCATGTTCTAGAGCAGTTAGAAATCTGAAACTTGGTACACTAGTAGTTATTAAGATGCAGAGTTCAGAAAATTTGGAGTACATACTCTCGGGGCACACATTTTAGAGGAGATTTTTTTTTTCAAAGATATATTTTTGCTAGTCAAACGAAGAAACATGGAAAGCTGAAACTTGGCATGAACGTGCATACTGAGACACTTAGCTCAGGAAATTTTTCAAGTTTCAGATGCATGCCCTGGGGACTTACTTTTTTGGGGGTGACATTTTCAAATAATGAATAATTTTTTGTCATAGTTAATTGGGCAGAAATAGAAAGGTGAAACTTCCAATTCTCATAACTGACATGAAGTTGAGTTCAGGGAAAATTGAGCTTTTGCGGTGCAGGGCATAGCTTTTTGGTGAGTCGGCTTTTTCAAACATTTTTTCACCAGCGAAATGGGTTGAAACTTGGTGGGTATGTAGTTCTTCGAGTACTGATTTCAGTAAAAAATTGTACTTTTTAGGTAAAACCACTCAGGGCACCTTTTTCGCAAGAGGCAGATTTTCTCGAAACTTTTTTATCCAATGAAACAGCGAGCGATAGAATGTTGAGACATGGCGCAGAAGAGCCTATGATCTGCTATGATGCATCTGCTATGATGCAGAAGTGCCTGATTGTGCGAGTATATTTCTGCTGAAGTTTCAGTTCCTATCCCTCCATTTTGTGAGAGCGAAAAATTTTTGAAATACATGCGTTTAAAAGGAATAAGGCCCCTTTTGTGGGAGGTGCCTTAAGAACAGTAAATTTACTACAATATGTATCCCAAGAACTGCTGATTTTATGAACTGTTTCTTGCTGGAAAATTTATTAACAGATTTTAAACAAGGAATTCTCTAGTTAGTATAAGACTGAAATTAGGTCTGCGATCCAACTCCTTTCAGAGCTGGACTCAAACAAGAAATAGTTTACGAATCATCTCTATCAAAGCGAGATATTCTCACTTGGAAGCAACCTCGATTCAGAATTTTCAGTCGTTTCCCAGCTGGAGCTGGTTTTTTGTTTTGTGTTTACAGTTTCGCTCCAGTTGGTAATTACAGCAGTCTTCGGCTAGGATTTTCAGCTAAGTATTATTCCTCTTCTGGCGAGGATGGTAGTACTGTTTGCTAATGGAGATAGATTGTCTCTCGTGTAACGTGACTACCAGCGCTCCATTCTAGAGTCATTACGTGAGGTTTAGCCAGCTCGCATTTTTGCCAATGGTGCATTCGGTCTTAGCGATTCTCAGAAGTTCGAATGTGGACCTACTGGAAATGGTGAAAGAAGCTGTAGTTTCCAAGAGGCTCGTGTTTCTTCTCTTTCTCAGTAGAAATTCATGCATTGTGATATTGATCCACCTGCTTGATGTAAGTTGTGGAATGTGTGACACGCTATCGTTCCAAAGTCACTTGAATCAACCTGAATGTTGATATGAAGGAATGAGACGGTAGAATGGGTTTAAACGAGAAAAAAAAAAGAAAATCGAGGGGAAATAATCCACGGATTATGATCATATCATTCCTCTTTTGAAACACACTGTATATGTTTGTATGAATTGGGGGGGGGGGGGGGCAATGAACCTGGGAAGGTCTGTGAGTTGTTACTCGGGGTTCCTATCTAAAATTTAAATGGCAAGGTGGATATTTTAAGAATTGGGGGTGTATGAATCTGCTTCGGAGGTAGTTCTGCTTAGCCGTCGGTGTTCATTTGGTTTTGGTCTTCCTTGCATTCGCCACGAGCTTGGTCTGTGAGCTTTCATGACAATTCCCATTAAATCCTGAAAATGTAGTCATTGAGTAGGGTGGGCAACCGTAGTGCAGATTGCGGGATCGTCCTGAATTTAAATTTTGCATTCTGGGATCACTCCCAAATCAAAAGTGTATGAAATGTCCTTCATTACCAAAAAGAGAGAAAATGTTTACATTGTTCGAAATTCTTACTACGAATTAAAAACTTCGAATGCAATGTATTTCTGGATTTGGGTCAAGTGGATGGTTAGCTGAGTTCAAACAATCGCCCTCCCTCCATTCCGACCTGGTTACGAGCCTCTGAGATGAGTTTTGATCTGCATTTCCTGAATGCGGATTAATAAGAACGAAGAACGAATTCTTTGGAGCATTCAGTAAATTTCACTCAAGTTCTGGA